TTTTGAGCGAGGTAGCAGGACCCTTGGTTGCAGGTTGATACTGTCGCGACTTGAAAGTGTGCGACAAGGGAGCAGCTAATGCCTTCGCTTGACCGCTGCGACCGCTGCCATTTTATCAATCGCGGCATACGTGGCGTTTGCGCCCTCTCGCGTACGACGTGCTCTCTCGCGTTTTCCCTCTCCTCACAGCGCTGTGTCTCTCTGTCATACCGACCTCAGTTTTCAATTTTCTGGTTTTTTTATGTTGCTTTTTGCTTTTCCTCCCCTCTAACGTTCCTCATCCTACTTTCCGTCTGATTTTTGAACAAATCGACACACCGAAGCGATCCCGATATGTGCCTTTAAGGTATGCCTCAAAACATGAACTCTGCTTAAAGGAATCTTCCGCGGAAAAAGCTCCGCCTCCATTACCACAGAAAAACGATACCTTAGGCCCCTAGCCTCATGAGCATAGCAAAAAGAACGGAACATAAGCGTTAGTTTCGATAATACTAATCCTACACACAAGACAAAATGATCACTCTTTCCGTGGAAGATTCCTTTAAGGTATCGTTTTCTGTGGTAATGAGGGCGGAGCTTTTTCCGTGGAAGATTCCTTTAAGCAGAATGGGGTGCAATTAGCGCGATTTCACGCGCTGTGTCGGGAACGGCTTGGAGCCTCCCGACCCATGCAAAGGCAAAGCGGATTCCAAGGTTGTAGATTTTGTCTGGTCAAAGATCGTGGATGCTGCCACATTTGGAACGGAATCAGAGATTAGGTGGGCCGATCCTGCTATCGCCTTTAGTCCACAGCGTTTGCCACCAGATCCTTCGGGACGTCAAACGAGCACTTGGACGGTCGCTGGTCCAATGGTCACTTTTCTTCACGAAAACCCTGCACTAATGAAATGGGGTGCTTCATGTTCCCTGAGAGAATTCAGTGAACTGCATGAGCTTGCAACGCGGACGAATGGAGACATTAGGGCGCTCTCGTTGTTTACGTCGGTCTCACGGGACCAGCCGCCCTCGCTCGATATTTCTCCTCTTTTGTGAACTATTATACTTCCTTTTGCTTTCGACGACATGCCCTCTACTGAGAGAATACTTTGATGGTTTCAAGGCTGCTTCGTCTTCAGACATGGTCTGTAGTTGCTCTGATTCCTTGAGCAGAAAATGCTGATTGTTATTGCTGTCCGGTTCCCTATCCTGTCTGTCCTCGAAAACCATAATTAGACTACTTTTAGTGTAGAATGCACACAACCAAACATTCCTAGTTTTCCAATGTGGGAGAAGCTGCTGTCTTCTAGCCTTACCCGATGTTCTGCTCAGCGAATGTTCACAGCTCTGTGATCAATATTCGTCCAACAGCTTTCGGAACTTACGCCTTTTTGGGTCTCTCTTGGTTTACACTATTTGACCTACAAGCAACTACAACACGGGAAATACATCTTTCGGCAAAGTCAATTTAGAAGCCTCATTCCAGAGGTTCACGCGTGAAACTCATCGGGGGGTGGAGGGCGCGGCTTTATTGTTTCCCCAGTACTTATAAAGATAAGGAGGACGAGCGCTCACTGACCAAGTAATCTTACTCATTTTAAAAGTGGTACTTGTATTGGGAAGAAACCCTGAGATGCTTCACGCCTGCCATGGTCCAAGGAAACGGTCCTGGACCAGGAGAAAGGACACCTCCGCAAGGGCTAAGGGTGCAGGAGCTCCAGGGTGGATCACCTGTGCAGAAAAGTGGATGGGATGTGGGCAGGTAGTGTGGAATGTAGGACATCCACCGGTCCTTATCAAAAGTACGCTCGAAATGAGTCGTTCACTTATTATCTTATCCGTAGTGTTCGATAGCCCAAAGAACTGCTCTCTAGTACTACGGATAAGATAGCAATGGAGTCCCCCAACTGGAGTTTCACCCAGTGGTTATTTTGTCATCAGTGGAATAGCTCTACTCGACAAAAAAGACCTGCGTAGTTCGCAGACGTGGAGGTTGCGCCAGCTTTGCACCCTCAAAGTGCTTGGCAAGGGCGCTATTGGCTCGCAGTGCCTGCGGCTCCCGCCCATGGCAGCATTCTCCGCCCCAGAATCAATAATTGGCTAGTGCGTTGGTGCCGCGCGCCCCTCTCGTCTCTCGCTTCTCTCACTTTTTCGCCTCTGTGGTCTCTCATTCAGGCGCTATCCCTTTCGTCATGAACGTATTACGGAACCTGTTCCGCAGACAAGGCTTCAATTGAAGCTATAGAAGAATATTTCTACATTTCTCCACTATCGAGCCAAATGGATAGCTCTGTGAAAAAAATCCGCACCTCTGTTTCAGAACGTCTTAGAAGCCAGAAAAGGTGGAAAATGATTAGAAATGAAGGATAAATCAAATTTTAGCTGGTCGGCGGAGCGTGATCAGAGTAGGTGGACCCAAAATCGAAAATTCGTAATAATATTAACGTTCTAATATCCCTGGAGACAGGTGAAAGTGTATAGATTAGCGAAGGAGGTGAGATCAAAGATTTCCGGCGAGTGGGACGTGTATCAAAGTGGGCGGGGCAAGGCTTAAAAATTCCAGTCACCCCTTCTATGCGGGTTCAGCCCCGCGTGGCCCGCGAGTTAGTGGGTGAAGCCAGACTGGTAACAGTCCTAATAAATATCGCGTTAGTGACGCTACTCGCGACGTCATTGTTGCGCGGCCCCGCAGTGCCTCCATGTCTCAGTCTAACACCATATTGTACGTACGATCAATAACGTGGTGTCAGACTAGCGAATCTAACACGATTGCGCTAACGATTCACGGGGTTAAATAGCGATTGCCACCAAGCGCATGCGAACAATGTACCAGCAGTTCGAACGGTACACCATTGACTCGACATTGTTTGAAATGGCTGGACTGCCTCTCATTTGCACGTTGACTCTCGCCACTTTCCCGAGCTCTCATACCCTCGGGAGCCCGGGAAAGTGGCGAGAGCCAGGTTCAAAGAAAGCCCGCCCCTTTCAAATAGTGTCGAGTCGCTGGTACATAGTTCGATTCAAATTTCAAATACAAATAAATAAATTGATAAATAAATAAGTAAACATCATTCGAACCTCTAGTACACAGTTCGATTCGCTGGCCCAACTGGCCCAACGGTTGTATTGCGCGATTCGCTAGCGAATTGCTGGTTTCGCAAAGTCTGACAGCGACTTTGGGAAGATGGGTGAAGGAGGAAGCTATCAAAGTTTCACGTCTTATCATGTTTCCTTCACCTGCTGATAGCTGATAGCGGCTTCCAACGAACAGCCAATCAAAAAACAGCCTAGCGAGCTTCATTTATATTTTTTATTCCCAACCGAAGAGTGAGCCTCATTTCTGATTTTCATTCCTGACTGGAGAGGATCTCCAGGTTGTGACGACGTTGAATTCTAACTACCTGGCAGTGACGTGAGCCTGATGATCATGTTTCTAGTTCTATTGTGACATGTACTTCCATTACCGAGCACATTCGCGAAGTCGCAGCTATCCTAGTTTGCGCCGTGAACGTATCAACTCTCTTATTTTACAGGTTCACCTCCCAAAACTTTGACGATTCATCATTCCTAAACATTCATCTGTAATCACTTCTGATGCGGGTCAACGTAGCTCGGGTGTGGGAGGATGCGGATTATGCCAGGGTCAAAAACATGTGCGAGACTAGTCAAGGATGGCAAGAGGTAAGTGATGGGGGAAGTTTTATCGAAACTCTTTCACCAGACATGAATGGATCATTTGAAAATGACATATTCAGGTTTACAAGAAGAAGAGTATTTCCATTTTTACCCAGTCAGTCCCATGCAGCAACTATCACATGATTAAGGTACGTCTTTCTTGTGTAGATAATGATAAAGATAGTACTAATCTTCTCAGCAATATCTTATGGGGTGGTTTTTCCGGAGGGGTGCAACGACTAGAGTCTCGGTTACCCTTGTTCACTTGACGGGATAATTCCTAACCTGTGCAACCATTCCGTAGCCCACCCGAGGTTGCCTCAGCGACGCCACAGCACGGGTCAGGAGCTCCACTTCGTAGCGGCGTGGGGAAACTAGCTAGCTGGGACATCTTGGGGCGTTGGTGTCGATGGTTGGGGACATCCCAGTGAAGACTAAGAAGAGGGGAGGAACTTCGGGAGAAATAAAAATTTTCTAAGCACCCCTCTCCTAGCCTCCCTAATGCTTACCAGGGAGCTTTGAAATGAGACCCAGATATATCGATAGAGCTTCAAACGCTGATTACAAATATGGAAACTAAAACTGCAAAATGAACCTGCCAAGGAAGTTGTGAGCAGTCAAAGTTGGCTGGAAGTGAAGCATTACACTAGCCTCCGGCTTTCAAAGTCGCCGTGGAGTAGTGGTAGTGCTCTCGAAATTTGCACACCAACGGGAAGTGAACATATATCCTCCCGGATAAAGATAGAGGGCACTTCCACAACTCTGCAGCGGCTCTGAAAACCTGGGGTCCAGCACGTCACAACTTCCTTGGCATCTCCTCCTACCATAGTTAACGAGGACTAACTTAGTGCTCCCCACCCAGCACTGCTGAATCAACATCTGGTGCTCGTTGCCAAAAGTTATCGTTACAGGCAGTGGCAAAGTATACAGACGTACAGCCGAGTGTTGCCTACGATGTGCTGCATGATTCGACGTACCGCTTCACACTGGGATCGACATATGGCAGCACAGTGCTACATAGGACGAATAAATCCGAACAATGACATAGGATATTATGCATGTGAGTTTCGGTCTTAAAGGAACTGGTCGCGACAAATCTTATGGGGATAATCAGGAACATTATATAGTGGGTTGGGTAGGGGTCCTACTCAATGAGCCGATGGTTGACACTTCAAAGGCCTCGGCGCCTTATCAACGGCGTGACAAGGCGCCGAACTTTTGGAACTCACCGCCACCTACGTCTCGAATGTGGACGGTGTTGCAACTGCAGCGTACTTTATATGCCACGGTTATCGTTGTCGTTTGGTTCTCATTCTGAAGTGCACCTCATCCCAAGTTGCCGTACCTTCTCATTTTATCGTATCACATCCTTCTCTCGTCCAACATTTCTCTATCACACTTTTTAACGGGAGGCGGTCATATGGCGCGATCCCATTGGCATTAGAGCGCACAGGCCGCAATTGCCCCATCTGCTGCGGCCGGACAACTCGTCCGTATCACTCAACTACTAGACTTCAGTAATTTCGGTGATCTCGCTGATCGTGGGTCCCAAGATCTAAAAAAGGAGCGGATAGCTTCGCTGGCCTGATGCCAAGGCAAGAGGAACGGAACAGAATGTGTTGCGCGGACGAGTTGTCCGGCCACAGCAGGACGTGGTAATTACGGCCTGTGCGCTCCAATGCCAATGGGATCGCGCCATATGACGCACACCCGTTTTAACTCGAGTCCTTCGGTTGATAACGCGTGGAACTCATCTCCAGCAGGAAGCCGACGTGGAGGCGGTCATATGGCTATATATCTTTATCATCATATATCTTTTCCACGGCTGTACCTTCCCTAAAATGCCCAGATTTGGGCAAACGATGCTCCGCATACTTCCTTGCGGAGTCCTCTCCAGCACTTTGTAATTGCGCCAAATGAGAGGTTGTTGTAGCTGGAGCCGCGTCTTCACAACTTGAGTTGTGTTGTCCATTATTGTTTAAAGGCATGGGTTGCAATCATAGTGGGGTGTTATTTTCTTCGAAAATCAGACAGGAAGTGCGATGAGGAACGTAGAAGGGAAAAGCAAAAAGCGCCATAGAAAACACTGAAATTTTTGTGAGGTCGGCCGTGGTATGACGGAGAGACACAGCGCTGCGAGGAGAGGGAAAACGCGAGAGAGCACGTCGTACGCGAGAGGGCGCAGACGCCACGTATGCTGCATTTAATAAGAACAGCAGTGGCGCAGCGGTCAAGCAAAGACATCAGCTTCCTTGCCTTGCACCTTCGAGTCGCGACACTAACATCGCCCTTTTGATGAGTGGTTCTGCTACCTTACTCAAGAGGGGAACTGCTCTAAGAATCTAATTGCGACCCGTGCCCTTAAGGCTCTTTGGTAGGACAGTACTCGAATGATTTTTTTGTTTTATTTAGGTTTTATAGATTTTCAAATAAAGCTGTATTCAAAGAAATATTTTAGTGGCGGGTATGCCACCAGTCCGAGGACGCGACTTCGTGATGCAGCGTTC